AGTACCAATCCCTGGGTGGTACAAACTGTTACCGCAGCTCAGCTGCTAAGCAAAAAGTTGGTAGTTTGAGTCCACCCAGCGGTAACTAAGAAGAAAACCCAAAAACCAAACCCCCGGCTGTCGAGTCGATTCCAGCTCATAAAAACCCTATAAGACAAGAGTAGAACTGCCCCATGGGGGAATCAGAGGCTGTAAATCTTTATAGGAGCAGACTGCCACACCTTTTCCCCACAGAGCCGCTAGTGGGTTCAAACTGCTAGCCGTTTGGTTAGCAGCCCGACACTTAATCCTGTATGTCACTTGAGCTCCTTCAGAAGAAAGGTCTGGCAGTTCACTTCTGAAAACTCAGCCACTGAAGCCCCTACGGAGCACAGTTCAACTCTGACACACAGAACGTCATGCAGTGTTCTCTGTGTGTTGTTTCTAAAGTAAGAGACTACAGCGCATGCAGGGACTGCGCAGTAGAATGATGGGGAGCAGAGCCCTGGAGTCAGAGCCAAGTTCGATTCCTGTGCCCTTATGGTCGAGTTGAAGGGCTGGTGAGAAGGGCTGTAATAGAGCTTCATCCGCTTGTCGGTCTTCACCCAGCACAGAGCCTTTTGTTTTACTTTGTTTGAATCTTTTTTTTTTTTAGAACAGTTTGAGATTTACAGAAAAATTGCAAAGTGGGTACAGAGAGTTCCCTTGTACTGGACATCCCATAGTCCCTGTTGTTAGTATATTACACTTGGGTGGTTGCATTTGTTACAATCAAGGAGCCGATACTGATACATTGTTATTCACTAAAGGCCATGCTTTATGTAAGTTTCCTTCATTCCTAATGTTCTTTGGTCCAGGAGTCCATGTACCATTTAGTGTACCATTTAGACATTCACGACTGTGAATGTCTAGACTTGTGTTTAATGACCTTGAGAGTCTTGAGCACGCCTGGTTAGAGATTTAGTAGAATGTACCCATTCAATGTTTTGCTGGTTGTTAGACTGCAAGGAAGACCACTGCTAGTTTATGTTATATCTTATCCACATGGCTTGTAGCATAGAAAGGTTTGTCTTCATTTTTTCAACATGCATGTATTGAACACCTACTGTATGCCAAATGCTGCAGTTGGTGGTGGTGTTAGATTATTCTGCTGAGTCAGCGTCAGTCTCATCGTGACCCCATCTACCACTGAAAGCGACACTGCCCAGTCCTGTGCAGTCCCCACACTGATGTGGATTGGACCTTTGTGATCCACAGGGTTTTCACTGGCTGACTTTAGGAAGGAGATTACCAGGCCTTTCTTCCTGGTCCAACTTAGTCGAGAAGCTCTGCTGAGACCTGTTCAGCACCCTAGCAATGCTCAAGCCTCCACAGACAGACAGGTAGTGACTGGACATGAGGTGCATTGGCCAGGAATCGAACCCGGGTTTCCCGTAAAAAAGACTGAGAATCCTACCACTGAATCACTACTGATTAAGGGCTTGGAATAGTAAACTAAGAAGATAGGCCCTTGCCTCAGAACCATCATGACCCCATAGGGCAGGTAGGCATGAATAGAAGTCTTGGGGATAAAAGCAGTGAAACTGGTCAGGTTTTGTGTGGTATGCAAAGGCATTTGGGCTCCATCCCCAGTGGAGAATGGCTCAAAGGTGGAGGCAAGTGGATTCTATGGTTGTTGTTCGTTGTTACATCAGTCTCCCGTGTACAATAGAACACAACCACATCCAGTCCTGCGCTAGCCTCATGGTTCTCCTGGGACACTCACATCCATGGTTGTGTATTCTGAGTGCCTTCCAATCTAGGGGGCCCATCTTCCAGCACAATTGCAGACATCTTCTGTGTCAGCCCTAAGCTTTTCATTGGCTAAATTTCAGAAGTAGATTGCCAGGCCTTTCTTCCTGATCTTAGTCTGGAAGCTCCGCTGAAACCTGTCTACCGTGAATGACTCTGCTGGGATTTGAAATACCAGGGACATCGCAGCAACACACAGGCCACCACGGCAGGACACACTGACAGACAAGTGATAATGTAGTTAGAGCTGCTTTTCTCAAGGAGTCCTGGTGTGGCACTGTGGGTTAATACACTGGACTGCAGGTTGGTTTGAACCACAAGGTTGGTTCAAGCTCGCCAGCTGCTTTTTGGAAACCCTATACAGGGTCACTATGAGTTGGAACCGATTTGTCGGCACTTAGCAATTTGGTGGCCCTGCAGGCAGAGTGGGAAGGAATAGGGAGCCCAGTGAGGAAGGTGCTTACTGTACCCAGACTGGGTGAGGGGAGGCAACCTGGACACAGTGGCTATGAGACTGGAGAGGGAGGAAATATAAGTGGTGGGCTGGAACTGGAGAGAAAAAGGGGGCTCCAGTTTCTCCTTCCTGGCTCAGTTTCATAAGCCACCCTAGGAAGTGACAGGACCCCCAAATGGGGATGGGCAGGCAGTGCCTAATGCTTTCCCCATGGCAGGGTCTCAGACAGCTGAGGTGGAGCAGAGACAAAGAGATGAAGTTTTCAAGGCCCAGGGACAAAAGAGAACATTGCAAGGCCCCATGACAGTATCTTGGAGACACGTGGTCTCTTGGCACTTGGGGACCTGCCTTTGAGCTTCTGTGTCATGCAGCAGGGATCCACTACATCCCGTGCCCAGGACAGTGCCTAACCCGAAGGAGCCCTGAGGAAGCAGCTGGAATGAATGACTGAGTTGTGAGCATCGTGCCCCTCTGGTGGGAGCAGACCTGCCAGCGAACCAGGGAGGTGGCTTCTCCACCCCACGTGGGCTAGGTGCCCTGGGTGAGGCCTGGTCAGCGCAGGAGTGTGTGAGGGTGCGTGTGGCCGTGTATGAAGGCAGAAGTGTGTGAGGGTGCGTGTGGCCGTGTGTGAGGGCAGGAGTGTGTGAGGGTGTGTGTGTGAGGGCAGGAGTGGGCCACTGTGAATGTGTGCATCCTTATGTGCATCTGGGTATTCGTGACTGTGTGTCTGTGTGTGCATGTGAGAGTTCACACCTATGTCTGTGTGCATCAGAAGGAGAGTGTCCAGCCATGTGTAGAGATCACCAGGATGAACTGGGAGCAAGTTCCTGACAGGTCTGGCAGTTCCTCCATCTCAGAAAATCCCAGGCTTGTGTGTTTGATACACTTGATTTCCTGTGTGAATACGCATTCATCTGTGATAAATAGCTGAACACTCTAGGAGGCCACAGCCTGGGTTTTTCAGAGACCCTGAGCAGCTCTGGCAGGGAGAAGGAGGGGTTTGGTCCCCTCTGCTGCCTCTTTCTGAATTCTCTGTAGTCCCCAAACCCAGCTGTGGTTCCGAGGCTCCATCCCCGTCTCCACCACTCCCTCCCCACCCTCCCAGCCCTGAAGTTTGGGCGCCCACACTGCCCCACACTGCCCGGGAGATCCTTTGATTCAGCACTTCTCACTCACAGCCCCATCTCTGCCTCAGACTTTGACTCCAAGGAAGCCTCCAGCTCCGCGCCCCCGCACCCCTCTCTCAGGAATGATTAACTCCTAGTTAGGCAGCTGGGTTTCAGAGCAGGTGGTCCCTGGCCAGCTGGGCAATGAGAAGGAAAGCCCTCCTGGCTCTGCTGAGAGCTGCTGCCAAAGCCCAGGCTCTCAGGACCCTATTGACTGGAAGTCCCATGAGCCAGAGGTAGAAGTGGTGGTATTGAGGAGGAAGGGTTATGGGCCCCTACAAGGTGAAAGCAGAATGGTGACCTCCCCTCCCCCTCCCCCTGCCCGCCCCTGTGGCAGGGATCACACAGGAAGGCAGGCTGGAATGGAGTGGATGACCAGGGCCAAGTCCAGCTAGCAGGGGCCTTCTGGTGGGGACTGCATTTTGGCCTTGGGAATGTGCTCAGTGGCTGAAGAGTGACCAGACAGGTTTGCTGTCCTTCCTGTCACTGTCTCCCTGCCTGCCAAGGAACTGGGTGCCTCCCCCCCCAGGGACTCAGCCAGGGGACCCCGGGCAGGTAGGCCAGTGGAGGGCTCCGGGTACAGGAAGTGCCAAAGGGCAGATGGGACAACAGCATCAGGAGGCCCGGTGGGAGCACCATCCCCACTCCTGCCTCCCCGCCCACAGCCATTCCTGATCTCTAGAACCACCCACCAGGGTAATGGCAGCCCCACCAGTGGCCCCAGCTGAACCCAGCTCCCGCTGGATGGTAGTGGTCAGCTTATCTCGGGCAGTATTCTGACCTTGGGATATGCAGTTGGGTACTTGATTTTCATAACTAGCCCCCAAGGGGTTTCTGTATAAGCCTCAGTCTATACTCCCAGAAGCAAAGTGACCAACTCAAGGTCACACAGCTTCAAACGTAGGTTTCCAAGAGCCACGAGCCTGGACTCAGAGAAGCTGGCAGACAGATGGTGCAGGAGGGCCAGGCCAGACCATCCCAGGGAGAAGACAGGCCAATCCCACACCCGCACTGCGAGTTCCTGGGTTCCAATTCCCAGCATTCGGCTGCAACCCTGACTTCCCAGCGAATGCTTCCAGCCATTAGCAGCACCAGACAATTAACAGTGGAGGAAAATTGCCCTGATTGTGCCAGCAGGCCACTTTGGCTGATAAGATGAAGACGGTCAGTCGCCAATGCTGGGTGCTAGGGCCGGCTGGCTGCAGGGGAGACAGGCCAAGGCTGTCAGGAGGGGGCTCAGAGTCAGGAGCACCTGCACCCAGTGCTGTAGAGCTCCCAAGTGACAGGGAACTCCAGTTTGGAGCCCTGCTAAAGACTTGGGGTACAGAGTTAAACTTGGCTTTCACACCCAGGGAAGCTTGGATCCTGGTCATTGTCCTCCTGCCTCTGTCCAGGCACCCAGCCTGATGACACAGGTAGCGAGGTAGCCAGAGTCTGGACAGAAAGCAGGCACTGTGGTCAGTTTGGCTGGGGCTGAACAGAGTGGGTGGACCAGAGCTGGAAACCCCCAAGCCAGCAGAACAGAGTGGGCATGCCGCCCAGTACTGACCCCACATGTCTCTGGCCTCCAGAGAGAACTGTGACCTGACCCTCCTCACGGTCTGCCTGCCATGGCGAGCCCCACTCTGAGCCCCGACTCCTCGTCTCATGAGGCCCTGTCAGCCCCCACGTGCTCCCCCACTTCTGACTCCGAGAACCTCAGCCCTGACGAGCTGGAGCTGTTGGCCAAACTCGAAGAGCAAAACCGGTGAGCAGAACCTGAGGCATGGGAGGAATCTGGGGGCAGCCTGGGTACCCCTTCATCTCAGGCTAAGTCAAGCCCTGGGACTATCTCCCCTCTCCAAGTGAATAGCTGGTCCCCACTGTTAGAAAAGGTCTAAAGGTCCAAAAGGTTTAGTGGATCTGGCCATCCTTCCCATACTTGCTGCTAACAAAGAGGTGGATGGTTTGAGTCTACCCTGAGGAGCTTCAGAAGAAAGGCCTGGAGATCTGCTTCCAAAACTCCAGCCACAGAAAATCCCATGGAGTACAGTTCTACTCTGACACATGTGGATTCTCCATGAGTCGACAACTGGTTTGATTTTTTATTGTGGGGAAGAGGTTAAAACATTAACCTCCAGGGGACCTTTCCACATTCCCGTCAGGCTCTGCTCCTTGCTAGTCGTGTACCCTCCACGGGTCACTCACCCTCTCTCTACCTTACCTAAAAAGTGCGGGTCCTCATAAAACCTGGCCTGCAGGGCTACTCAGAAGCCCACAGTGCCCAGCACAGAGCCAAGGGCAGACCTAACAGAAGCTGCTTCAGGATGACAGACGACAAAATCACAGCCCAGAGAGGCTAGGTGACTGAGCCAAGGTCACACAGCAGAGACGACCCCATTTGGCAGCAGAAGTAACAGAAACCCCATCCTTGGTGACCTCTCAGACCCTCCCGTGGCTCTCCCCGCCCAGGCTCCTGGAGGCCGACTCCAAGTCCATGCGCTCCATGAACGGCTCTCGGCGGAATAGCGGCTCCTCACTGGTATCCAGCTCCTCAGCCTCCTCCAACCTGAGCCACCTGGAAGAGGACACGTGGATCCTATGGGGCCGCGTTGCCAATGAATGGGAGGAGTGGCGTCGCCGGAAAGAGAAGCTGCTCAAGGTGGCGGGCGCAGCCTGGGGGGCGGACGGTGGGTGGGCATGGTCACTGGGCTCCCACGAAGCAGGCCACAGCTGGGTGCACCAGGAAGGTGAGGCAGAGCCTACCAGGAGCCTCAGCCTGGGTACAGGCAGGGTAGAGGTGTTCAGACACTCAGAAGCACCTCATAAGAAAGACCTGGCGATCTTCTGAAAAACCAGCCTGTAGAGCACAGTTATACCCTGACTCCAAGGAGTCGTCATGAATCAAAATTGACGCAACAGCAACTGGTTTTGTTGTTAGGGCAGGGGGAAAGAAGAGAGTTGTGGAGAGAGCTAACAGTCTGGGAAAGGAGAGAATCGGCAAGAGAGGAGAGTCAGGGAGAAAACAGTCAGGTACACAGACAAGTGGTGAGCTCGGAGTCTGGCCTCCCAGGTTCAGGAGCTGATTCAGGGAGGACAAGGTCGGTACATTGTGCACTGTGGACTCTACCTGCAGTGCAGTGACGTGGATGGGCTCAGTACCAGGCAGGACAGGGTTGGTACATCACACAGCGCAGTGATGTGGATGGGCTCAGTACCATGAGTGCCTGGGGGTAGGGGGCTTGCCATTGTGCGAGCTGACCTCCCGCTGGCACTGCCATCCCCAGGAGCTGATCCGCAAGGGCATCCCACACCACTTCCGGGCCATCGTGTGGCAGCTTCTGTGCTGCGCCACAGACATGCCCGTCAAGAACCAGTACTCGGAGCTGCTCAAGATGTCATCACCCTGCGAGAAGCTGATCCGCAGGGACATTGCCCGTACCTACCCAGAGCACGAGTTCTTCAAGGGCCAGGACAGCCTGGGCCAGGAGGTCCTATTCAACGTCATGAAGGTGAGGCCTGGGGTCCTCATGCCCCTGGGGCCTGCCTCTGCTGGGCCCCCAGTGCTCCGCCCTCACACCCACCCCGCTGGTTCCCTTCCAGGCCTACTCCCTTGTGGACCGAGAGGTGGGCTACTGCCAGGGCAGTGCCTTCATCGTGGGCCTCCTCCTCATGCAGGTAGGAGTCCCCTCCACACAGTATCCTCCTGAGTCAGTACCTGGAACCGCCAATGCTGTCCTGTGACAGTCCCTAGCCAAGGCCCAGTAGGTGAACACAGAATGTCCTATTCCCTCACCTCCAGGGTTGGACGAGAAACTCAGGCCAAGAATTTAGTCAGCTACTGTCAAGCCTTGAAGCTTCCTCCAGAGAAGTCAGAAGGCTGAGGAGGGGAGAGAGGAGACAGCTGGGAGCAGAAAGGAGGGGGTCTCAACTGAGGAGTCACACCTGTGGGCGCTGGCGCTGGCCCCCCTGACTTCTAGTCCTGGCTTCACTGGCCTCCGGTTCTCCATCAGTAAAGCAGGAGGACAATGTTTACCCCAGAGGTTGCCTGCGAGGATGCAGGAGGCGATAACCAAGGCCAGCTCAGCCTGGCTGCAGGGCCCAGTCAGTGCCCTCCATTAAATGTAAATGGCGCAGAAACAGGCCTTGGGTGAAATGCCACATACAGGGGTGGCCAGAGGGGCCTTAAACACAGCCCTAGGTCCAGTCCCCTTGCTTACCTCCCGCTCCTGCCTCCCAGATGCCTGAGGAGGAAGCGTTCTGTGTGTTCGTGCGGCTGATGCAGGAATACCGGCTCCGGGAGCTCTTCAAGCCCAGTATGGCGGAGCTGGGGCTCTGCATCTACCAGTTTGAGTACATGCTGCAGGTGAGTCCCACCTGGTTCACTCCACCTCTGCCGCTCCCAGGGCTGAAACCTTGTGGCCTTGCCCCAAAGGATGTTTCGAGCCAGGGAGAGTCACTTCAAGTGCAACTGGAGAGAGGCTGAGGCAGTGAATTGGGGTGTGCTCGCATGCTCTAACGCCACCCCCCATTCCTCTCCCTGTCTGCTCCATTGTGCAAAGGGGAGGAAATGTGTCGTCTGCCTGCCTCTGCTGATTACCGTGGAGCCACAGACATCTTTGTTTATGAATAGCAGCCCCCACAGGGCCCTGCCCTTGGCTGGCAGACAGCAGGCGAGCACATGTTTATACATACTCACAGTGTACACACATGCCCTGTGGCCTGGTCCAGAAGCTGGGTGCAGGGGGCACTGTGAGGCCACTCCCCAGGCCAGAGGACAGGAGTGCGGAGTAGCTGAGGCGTACTGTGCTGGAGTTGGCCTGGCAGATGTGTGAGCCAGTGCCCTGGGCTCCTAGGAGGTGTCTGTCATCGCAAAGGGACAGCAGACACCACCCTGGCTGGGTAGTTGAGGCATCCCATACAGGGAAGTAGCTGACACCACATTAACTCCTTCCTTTGATAAAGATCCAGGGGTCCTGACATCTTCTCCCTTCTCCAGCCTGTGTCCCCAGTCTTGGAGCCCCTGAGCTTGGCTGGGAGCTGCGGGTGAACACACAGTCAGCGTGGTGTCTCAGGCACACACATTACATGATACGCATGGGCTCAAGGTCATGCCCTAGGTGACCTCTGGGGACTTCTGTCCACACCCTGAGCCTCAGTCTCTTTCCGGGGTGGTGTGTGGATCCATGAGCTGCTTGCTGCTCACGGTGTACATCCATCACCCAGCAGCTGCTTTGCCCAAGCCCACCTGTGTTCCCACCTTGTGGAGCTCTAGGCTCTGGAAGTAACGTGGGGCTGCACGAGGGGACAGAGGAGGGGAGCCCATGCTGCTGGACTATCAGGGAAGGTTCACAGGAGGCAAGGCAGCAGCGCTGAGCCCAGCACAGACAGATGGAGGGGGCCCAGTGGGCATGGACAGCCCCTCCTCATCTATACACCCCACAGGAACAGCTTCCGGACCTGAACACACACTTCCGCTCCCAGAGTTTCCACACGTCCATGTACGCCTCATCCTGGTTCCTCACGCTCTTCCTCACCACGTTTCCACTGCCCGTGGCCACCCGCGTCTTTGACATCTTCATGTATGAGGTGAGGCTTCAGCCTGGCCGGGAGGCCTCCTGTGGGAGAGCTGAGGAGAGACCCCAGGAAGGGACAAGAGATACAACGTCACCGATTCTTTCACAGGGACTGGAGATCGTGTTCCGGGTGGGCCTGGCCATGCTGCAGGTGAACCAGATAGAACTAATGCAACTGGACATGGAGGGGATGTCCCAGGTGGGCCGGGGAAGGGGCACAGGTGGGGAGGAAGGAGCATCCCTGAGTACCCCCGGCCCGTTCCTCCCAACTCTGCCCTCCCTGTAGGAACCAGGGCTTCCTGAGCAAGAGACTGGCCCTGACGGGGGACAGAGGGAAGCCCAGCCCAAGAAGAGACTTGCCCCCAGCCTGGGTCCTCCAAAGCCTGATTATCCCTGCTGGTCATTCATGGGGCTAGGGGTGACACATCTGTCCCAGCTCACCAGCCAGTGAGGGTAGAACAGGGGTGAGGGGCCCTGTCCATTTGCTGGAAGAGAAACTGCCTGCTTCCCGCCCCGCAGGCCCTGCCACCCCCAGTACCGTCCAGCTGGCGCTGTGAGGGAGAATGCACAAAAGCCACAGTTGTGTCTGAGGACACGGGTGCTCATTGTCCACAGCTGCTGGACAGAGCCAGCTGGGCAGGGGAGGGGCACCAGGCTGCCCCCAAACTGTGACAAGCTGTGGTCATCGCTACTGGCACTTAACCCTTTGCCGAGACTCAAGGAGCCTTCAGACCTAGCTCAGGTCTTCTTTCCTCCTAGTGGCTCCAGTGCCCCATGCTGTGCCCTCCCCTTGCCCAGCCCCTGACTTGCCCCAGTTGTCTGGGGTTTTCTGAGCCTCCCACGGTGTCCCTCAGAAAAGGTGCTGGGCGCTCAGACACACAGCCTAGCCTTCATCCTCCAGGACACTGACACCCCAGCCCCGTGTGCTCAGTCATTCAGAGCCCCCACAAGCACTGCCAAGTGCCCACATGGGGCAGTCCCCTTCCCTCGCCAAGCTCCCAGGCCCCCCAAGTCAAGGCTGCGTCTCCGTGACCACATGCATCCCCACAGTACTTCCAGAGAGTGATTCCCCACCAGTTCGACAGCTGCCCGGACAAGCTGATCCTCAAAGCCTACCAGGTCAAGTACAACCCCAAGAAGATGAAGAGGTCAGTGCCAGGGTGTCAGCTGAGGGGGGTGGCGGGCATCCTCCACAGCGGGGACAGTGACCTTGTGGGCCTCCCCCTCCACAGACTGGAGAAGGAGTACGCGGCCATGAAGAGCAAGGAGATGGAGGAGCAGATCGAGATCAAAGTGAGCCCAAGGGACATCCTGGGGGCTCCCCATCTCCCCATCTCAGGCTTTCCTTGCTCACCCAGCCAGCGGCCACTGGAGGGCAGCCCTGCCCCCTACAGGTGGAGGACCCGGCTCTCCTGCGCCCCCCTCTCCTCACCCCTTTAGCAGTGAGTGCCTAGGCAGGGGAGGGAGAAACATGCCTGCTCTGAAGCATTCCAGGGAAGACATGCAGGGGGCTAGGGAAGGGCTAAGTCAGACGCTGGGAGCCCAGTGCACAGAGCCTGAGGCTGGGCTGCAGAACTAGCCAGGAGGCTGAGACCGCAGAGACTAGGCACCTGGGTCAGCCCTCCAAGGTCTGGGGGCTCCATAGGCTTACAGCACTTCTGAATCCAGGACCCCTCTCTCTCCTTCCTTCTACTTCCATTCCTCCACATGTGACAGTGACTTGCTGTGTGCCATCAAGGCAGAGATGAAGGAGATGCCCAGTCCAGCGAGGGGACAGGCACAGCAAGGCCTGGCTCGGTCCTCTTCCCTGTTAATCACACAGGGCATGGACTGGAGTTTAACAGACGCTGGAAGGCTGTGTGAGTTCATCTTGCTGGGCCTCACTGTTCCCTCTTGTCAAATGGGGATGCTGCTTGCTCTGCTGTTCAGAGGATTATCCCCACCACCATCTGCAGCTTCCTAAGAAGGCAGATGAGGATCCAGCTCACCTGCGCAAAGAGGAGGGTGCCCTTGTCTTGGCCATGTTGGTCGGTTTCCAGAGACGCACCAGGCCTGATTATTATATTTAGCCTCTCTCGCTCAGTTCCCAGCAGCCTGACTGATACACCAAACGTGTGTCTCATTTCATAGGGACAGGAGTCTGCTGCCACCTGGTGACCTTGAAGGCACAGCAGGTCCTCAGGCCACGTGCCCAGCCTGCAGATTGAGGGGAGGGGCCCTTGAGAGCCCCATGGGCCTGATCCTTTGTTCTCTCCCCTGAGCCCTGTGAATCTTGCTTTCTCTGTTTGGAGTAAGTGGAAGACAGACAAGGTTGTGGTCAGGGCACCTCCAGCTCCTCCCAGGGAAGTCCTACTTGGTGCAGTGGTGGATGGAGAGGCCAGAAGGAGGGCAGGACAACCCAGCAGTCAGGGGTCAGGACTCAGATCACCTTGAGGGACAGAGCCCTGTGCCTTCACAGCTCTGACTCAGTTTCCCCACAATGAAATGAATCAATGGTCAGACTTCCTCTGACCACGGTTGTTTCCTGGGACTGTTACGGGCATTTCTGTCACCCAAAAGAAGACCAGGACACTTTCTGTGTGACTCCCTGGGGGCAGGTTCCTCATTAATGGAGGGAAATCTATGTCTGCTGGTGTGGCACTGTGGACTAATGCGTCAGACTGCAAAGTCGTTTGAACTGCAAGGTCGGTGGTTCAAGCTCACCAGCGGCTCCTTGGAAACCCTATACAGGGTCGCTATGGGTCGGAATCAACTCGACAGCACTTAACAACAGGGAGAGACAGGACTCCTGGTGTGGTACTGTAGGATCAGCACTGGGCTGCAAATGACAAGGTCAATGGTTCAACCCCACCAGCTGCTCCTGAAAAACCCTATACAGGGTCGCTGTGAGTCGGAACTGACTCAGCGGCACTTAACAATAACAAGGGAGAGACAGGGGAGGTGCTGCAGGATAAGCACTGGATTGCTAACCACAAGGACTCCTAGTGTGGTACTATAGGATCAGCATTAGACTGCAAACCACAAGGTCAGCAGTTCAAACCCACCAGCTGCTCCTTGGAAACCCTGTACAGTCAGAACTGACTCAATGGCACTTAACAACAACAAAGCTAACCACAAGGTAAGCAGTTCAAACCCACCAGCTGCTTCCTGGAAACCCCATACAGGGTCGTTATGAGTCGGAATTGACTCGATGGCATTTCAGAAGGGAGACACTAACTGTAAGACATATGTAAAACTCACCTGAGGACATCGATGGCTGCGTGGTAGAATTCTAGCATCGCACGCAGGAGACTGGAGTTCAATTCCCAGCCAGTGCACCTCATGTGCCGCCACCCCCCAGCTGTCAATAGGATGCTGAAACAGGTTTCAGCGGCACTTCCAGACTAAAAGAGGCTAGGAAGGAAGGCCTACCATCTTCCAAAAATCAGCCGGGGGGCGGGGCAGGGGACAGGGCACCTATGGACCACAGTGATTCCATCTGCAGCCAGTGATGGGCGTGGCACAGGACCAGGCAGTATGTCATTCCATTGTGCCTAGGGCCACCACAAGTCAGGAGTACAACCCAAAAACCAACTACCACCTCAACTGCATCCCCAAAGATAGAAGAGTAACCCACAGCTACTAGCCAGAATCTGCCCAAGCAGATGGAAAGCCAAAAACAAGGGGGGCTGTCAGTGTGCAAAACTCTGCAAGAGGGGCTGTCAGTGTGGTTGTCAAGCTGAAGGAAGCGGGTGTGTCAGCAAAACACTGGCCGAGATCCACACTCTGAGACAGGTGGTCCTAAAAGATTTTAACCCAAGGGCCCTGGAGCAAAACAGTGAGGGAGAAGGCAGGGGGTATGAGCTGACAGCAGAGGCATTTGCTGTTGGGTGGACCTCACTCCAGCTCCAAAGGTGAGAGTAGGAGCTAGGCACTTACAAACTTCTATTGAACCACGGGTTGCTTTAAAAGGAAAAAATGAACAGCTCTTCTGAATAGGAAAAAGCCGCTGCTAACCAAAATATGTGTGCAGGTTCGAGTCCACCAAAGGTACCTTGGAAGAAAAGTCTAGAGAGCACTTCCAAAAAATCAGCCATGGAAAACTCTAAATGTACAATTGCCAGGAATAAGAATCGCGAAATCAACTAGAGGGCAGCCTTTTTTTTCCTCCACTGACCTGGAGTCGGTCCCTCTGGTTCACCAGTCAGAAGGGAAGATGCTGGCGGAGCTTCTGTGTGCCGGGACTCCATCCTGCTTAGGGGGTGGGGGGGGTGGGTCTAACATGCCTCTCCCTCCCCACATAGAGACTTCGGACGGAGAACCGACTCCTGAAACAGCGGATTGAGACCCTGGAGAAGGTGAGGAATGAATGTGGCCGTCAGTCTGTGCCTCTGAATCCACAAATCCCCCAGGTTCTACCCAGCAGTGGGAGTCCCTGAACTGTGAATGAATCCCAAAGTTCCCGACCTTAGGCCCGACACAAGCCCGCTAAGATTAGGGCTGCGGCTTAAAGGACTACAGTGACAGGATTTGTGTGGCAACCCACTGTAATTAACCCCGGAGACGGGGTTTAGTCACACCCCAGCCGCCTGCAAACACCGGAACCCCGGTGTGTTCAATGCCCCTCCCACCCCAGGCCGCTTGGGTGGGGGTTAAGGCAGAACTGCTTTGACTCAAGAGCCTCAGGGACTGGGCTCCAAGGCACCCACCCTGCAATTTGGAACTCGCAACCTTGACAAAATAGTAAATGAAGAAAGGCAGCGTTGCCATGACGACCTTGACCCTAAACCTATGGCTTTTAACAGATGGGGAGGGCCAAGGCTCCCTGGTCTCCCATTTCCGGCCCTTCACCCTCCTCATCACTTAATCATGCACTGGGTCTCCAGTGGTAGTCCCAAAGCTCGTGTCTCTGAATCTTGGCCACCAGGCCAGCACCACTACCCCAGTCCTGGGGGCGGCTCCTCCTCACTCGCATTCCAGGCGCTGAAGCCAAAAAAACACAACCCTGGAGGGGTGGAATGGCCCAGCCCACCCGCATCCAGACCCCTCTCCCGGACGACTGACTCTGGCTCCGTCTTCCTCCTGGTGGGCTCCTGCCGGGTCTCTGGTCTTCGGCTCTCTCCCAGCTTCTAGACAGTCCACTGCGTTAGTGACCCGCCTTCTTGTCTGTGTCTCCCTCTCCTGTCCCGCGCCTTCTGCTCTGCTCCTCCCCCTGTCGCTCGGACCCCCCTCCACCGGGTAGGAGAGTGCTGCTCTGGCTGATAGGTTAATCCAGGTACTGTAGCTTTTCGTCTCCCTCTTGACTCCCTTCCTGGCCTTTGCCTTGCACACGACAGCCAGCCAGTCACCACCCCGTCTCTGGCCGCTGCCATTCTGAGGGGCTGGGGGCAGGCCTGGCACTGTGCATGGGGGCAGCTGAGGACACTTTTCAGGGGAATCAAACACCTTGTGAAATGGAGAAGGAATGTGGGGTTTGGGGGGAAGGTAAACAACGCATGTGTGCAGAGAGGGCTGAGACTCTGAGTGTGTCAGCTCCAGGCTCTGGTGTGTGCACTCTGCTAAGCGTCTTCACTCTGCACACACGCATACTAATACCCACATGCTTAACACACACATTCATACACACACATCTGTGCTTACACACATGCTCACAAAAACATACTTGCACACTAGCTCACCCACATCCTCCCTCACACAGGAACACACTCACTAGCTCTGACTGCCACCCCTACCCCTGCCTTCACACTGCTCTTGCTACTACCTGCAAAGCCTGGCATCTTCTCTCACTCACCTGCTTCCGCTGCTACCTCATCTTGAATGGCTTTACCTGAAATCTGCCTCAAACCACCTGGTGGCTCTGAGCCTGGAATGGGAAGACCCAGATTGGGTGGGGTGAGGGCATGAGGCTGTAGGGTGGGGCACCTTCCAGCCCAGGCCAGGCTGCCTGGTCCCAAAGGCCAGCCCTGCCCCACCAGCCCTGAAGGTGTAGAGCACATGAGCAGAGGCCTCGGCGCCAGCTGCACTGGATGCAGGCTCCTTCACCTCTCCATGTACACAGGTCCCACACCAGACTCCAAAAGGGGAAGCTGCCCAGGTGTCCCAGGCCTGCCTGTCCTCCCCAACCCCAGGGCAGGCTGGAGCTGCCCCATCCCAGGCTCTGACGCCTTCACCTCTGCCCCACCTATCCCTCTCTGAGCCCCGACTCTCTCATCCCCCTTCTGTCTGGGGTTCCAGCACAGTCACGGCCCCCTCCTCGCTGTGCTCAGGGGCAGGTGACACGGGCGCAGGAGGCCGAGGAGAACTATGTCATTAAGCGGGAGCTGGCCGTGGTACGACAGCAGTGCAGCACAGCCACCGAGGACCTGCAGAAGGCCCAGAGCACCATCCGGCAATTGCAGGAGCAGCAGGTACCCCAGCACCAAAGGCCCAGCCGTTCCTTCCCCCAGCCCACTGCATCCCTGGAGGGTTCTGTGAGTCAAGGGATCCTGAGACTTCAGTTCCCACCACTCACTAGGGTCTCTGGTCATCCATCCAGACAGAGGGGGCTCAACGTCAGCCCCATGGCTCTCCCTCACCACCAGTTAGAACTTTGTGGGCCCAGACAGCACCCTGACCACAAAGCACCCTTCACTTCTGGTGCCCCACTGGACGCCCCATACATGGACTACAGCCCTCCAGGGAGCCCTGGCATTTCTCCGGGTTGAAGGACCAGCAGTGTAGAGTAGCAACAGAACGAGCGACTGGGAGGTGCTCCGTTCTCCATGCTCAAGACTCTGTTGCCCCATGAGTCTGGATTTGGTCTGTGCCTTTATGAGTGACGGGAGGGCAGCCCAAATCGTCTATGGGATCCGGCGGGAACATCGCCCTCTACCCCAGGGTGCTCTGAGAATTCTCCCGCAACTGTACCCCCAGACCTGCCGCTCACAGGTGCACACAACCACCTGAAGGTGCAGGGAGAAATGTTGCCAGCTCCTCTGGCCACTCCAGGGTTTGGCGGTGGTGCCCCTGTTGGGCCAGTCATGGGGGGAAGGGAGGGACAGACCGTGCCCATAGGCCCCGCTACTGGCACCAGGAGTTGACAAGGAGAGTGGGCGGCCCTGGGCTCCAGGAGAGGCACCTGGGAGAGGTGCATCCAGATCACTAGCACCCATTGACCGCGAGACCTGTAGGGGGCCGTGAACCTTCCTCTCCCTTCCTGGATTTGAAATGAAGCCACCTGCTGGCGGGGGAGTAGAGTGGGAGGGAAAGGATAACAGAGGAGGGGCAGGAGCGCACATGCGCAGCTCTCAGCCCCGCCCACACCCGCCTGAAGCTCCGCCCCCCACCACAGGGTTAATCTGGGCATGGGCGGCTCTGCAGAAGCTCGGTCTGGGAGAATTCATTCTGTCTCCACCCCAATTTCTCCGGGAAGCGGTATCGCTCGTTGGGCTCTCAGAAGTCCCCTTCAGAACGGTCCCTCATCACAGCTTGTCCAGGAAAGAGGAGACAGAATCCACAGACAGACGAGGACCCCTGTGGGGTTCAGGGCCTCCAGGGTTTCTCCTCACCTCCTCCCCACGCAGCCGGCTTTCCGCCATGTCTCCACTTGAGCCCTTCTTTCAGCCCAAGGGGCCCTGGGGAGGGGACCAATGCCTGGGCCCACAGCAGCTGGCGTGCAGGCCCACCGCAGCCTTTTACCACCCAGGATAACCCGCGCCTCACTGAGGACTTCGTGACGCACCTGGAAACAGAGCTAGAGCAGTCGCGGTTGCGTGAGACGGAGACGCTGGGGGCGCTGCGGGAGATGCAGGACAAGGTTCTGGACATGGAGAAGGTGGGCCTGAACGGGAGCTGGTGAAAGACCTGCAATCACTGGGGTAACTTCGGGCCAGGTTAGCCAGGTGGGTCTCCAGAAGTCACAACCCCTCCCCCCAGGTAAGTGGGGGTGAGGGAGGCATGGGCAACTGAGGCCAAAACCCAGGGCACCTTCCCTGCCCCAGCCTGGACCCAAGCCCATCCCTTGGCCCACCCGCCCCTCCATTCTGTCCCATGGTCTCACATGAGGATCTCGAGGGATGGGAAGTTGAGTTCTGACCCCCAGAGCTTCTGAAGCCCTGGAGATGCGCGAATGTACCACAGCGCAACACACACACACACCCTACCCCGCACCCCGCCCCCTCCATGTAAGCACCTGCCCTCCAGGAAGGCACTGTGGTCAGCAGTACACCATACTGTATCTCACCTGGATGTGTGTCCCCCAGGTGGACGGAGGGAAAGGCCCAAACCTATCAGGGCTGCCCCCACCACCACAGGGCCAGAGTGGGCTCCACTCTCACGTGCCAGCAGCCCCGCCTTCAGGTCCCTCCTCAGCTGTCATCACATTGTTTTGGTGAAAGTCTCCCATGGGGCACAAAGGGAAAGGAAGCACCTGACTGACCACAGCCCCACCCTCTGGGGCCTGCTGTGTTTCAGACCCCCTCCCTAGTGTCTCTGCCATGACTTTGCACACAACCCGCTGCCTCACTCCCCAGCAAGTTCGCACAGGGATGAGATTTCCTCCACTGGCCTCCTCCACTTGGGAGTGAAATGAGCACCCGGAACATCTTTAGTGGGGACCCCGGACAGGAGGTGGTACACAGATTCCTCATCACCGAAGCCATGATGTCGAAGCTGGCTCTCGGGGTTTTAAGGGAGGGGCAGTCTGGCCTGGCTTAGGGCTTGGGGTAGCTCCTTGGTCTGATCATGGGAAGGAAGACTCGTTTGTGGGGAGCCATGCATGCTGCTGGTTTTCCAGGATACCTTAAGGTGGTGTGTCCTTGAAAGAGTAGATATACTTACACCCATCTCACATAAGAGGGGCTCAGGCAGGGCTCACACCTGTGAGGTCTACAGACCCCTGCTTTGGGTTCCCCATCAGCCTTCATGCAGGGTGGGAGTCTCAGTCACTGCCCTGGGCTCTGACCACCTCTCTCCCCGCAGAGGAACAGCTCGCTGCCGGATGAGAACAATGTGGCGCGGCTGCAGGAAGAGCTGAAAGCGCTCAAGGTGCGCGAGGGAGAGGCAGTGGCGGCGTCGCGGGAGTTGAAACTACAGCTACAGGAACTCTCGGACACCTGGCAGGTAAGAACCGCGCAGGCCCCCTGATCCCCGACTCGCAGCCCCTGCTGACCGCATCCCCTGCCCACACCGCAGGCCCATCTGTCCCGTGGCGGCCGCTGGAAGGAATCCCCACGGAAGCTGGTTCTAGGAGAGCTGCAGGACGAGCTGATGAGCGTGCGTCTGCGTGAGGCCCAAGCCCTGGCCGACGGCCGTGAGTTGCGGCAGCGCGTAGTGGAGCTGGAGACGCAGGTGAGCCGCACGCAAGCACGCACGTGGAGGGAGGAGTTTGGTGGCTGAAGCCCGCCCCTTGCCTGGGCTATGACCTGCTCCTGTCCTCCCACCTTGTCTCCTAGGACCACATCCACCGCAACCTGCTAAACCGCATGGAGGCGGAGCGCGGGACACTGCAGGAAAAGCTGCAGTACCTGGCTGCGCAGAACAAGGGGTTGCAGACGCAACTCAGCGAGAGCCGCCGCAAACAGGCCGAGGCCGAATGCAAGGTGCTGTCACTCCTCCGCAGGACCTGCCCCTGCCCGGCATGGACTGGATCCAGTTCCCAGGGCACCAGAGCTCACACCTCCCACCCCTCCTTCCACAGAGCAAGGAGGAAGTGATGGCCGTGCGTCTGAGGGAGGCGGACAGCATGGCTGCGGTGGCCGAAATGAGGCAACGCATCGCTGAGCTGGAAATCCAGGTGAGCGGTGGGTGGGGAGGGGAGGGGAGGTAGACCCCAGAGTGAGGCCCTGCCCTTACCCTGGTGACCCGCCACCCACAGAGGGAAGAGGGCCGCATCCAGGGCCAACTGAACCACTCGGATTCGTCCCAGTACATCCGGGAGCTCAAGGACCAGATAGAGGAGCTGAAGACTGAGGTGAGCCTGGGGTGGCGGTGTGGGAGCTGGGCGGCCAGACCCCCAAACCAGTTCTGGGCATCCTCGGCCGCAAGCGTGCACACCCCACATCTAGGTGCGGCTGCTGAAAGGCCCGCCAGCCTTCGAGGACCCGCTAGCTTTCGACGGGCTCAGCCTAGCTCGGCACCTGGACGAGGACTCACTGCCTTCATCCGATGAGGAGCTACTCGGTGTGGGTGTGGGCGCCGCGCTGCAGGACGCACTCTACCCGCTGTCCCCTCGTGACGCTCGCTTCTTCCGCTGTCTGGAGCGGCCGGCCAAGGACAGCGAGGGCAGCTCGGACAGCGATGCTGACGAACTGGCTACGCCCTATAGCCAGGGCCTAGACAACTGAGGCAGAACCCCAGCCCGCCCAGAGCCAGGGGGCTATCCCCACTGCTGCCATGGGGGCGCTGGGGCCCTAGCTGCGGTTCTTGTCTCCCAGCCACGGGTCTGAGCCACGCCCACATGGGGGGGAGGGCGGCCCAGCCCGGCGAGGGTCCTCAGGATCCCCTGGCAGGCCTCATTCCCCAGCAGTGTTTACCCATCTTGGTCTGCACCCCTCCGGGACCTCCGGTGTCCCGATGGCGCCTGCACCAGTCACCAGCGAGGGCAGATAGGGACCCTGAGGTTCAAGAACAGGACAAGCAGAAGGTTCCTCCTGGGACAAGGGTGGCCCTGTCCGGAAGGGCCCAGGAGCAGAGGGACCCGAGGCAGGAGGGGTGTCTCTGGGGCTGGATGCTGCTCACACCACTGGATGCCCTTCGGGACACGGGGATCCTTAGCCAGCCCCTGGCCCTTGGGAACAAATGGCCAGGCTGGGTTTCCCTGCCTGGTGCAGGTGTCGTGGCCCCTCCAGCAGAAACCAAAGTCCCCCTTACTGTGTAGAGGGCCACCTGAGGTGTCAGCGGCCTAGGGGAGCCAGGCCAGGCCAGGGCAGTAGCTGTCCCTGTTGAGGGCGGAGACTGAGCAGTTGCAGGAAAGTGAAGAAGCCCCTGCCTCTGAGAGACACGCCCCTCACCCCCTTCTCTGCCACTTCCCTTCTTTACTTTTGCACCCCGCCCTCCCCCCCCCCCCCCCCCCCCTCAATCCAGGGCCCGGCCCCAGGTGAAGCTTCCAGCAGAGTCCCTGCCCCTCCCCCACCTGCACCGCCTCACGGTGGTCCCGTGGTCTCTGCTGTGTCAGAACTGAGAACGGTGCCAAAGTCCAATGACACCCCCACACTCCCCATCCTTAGCCTCTAGAGACCCTCGGTGCTCCCGGAGTCTCGAGCGGTGTCACAAGCAATCTCCCTGGCGCTCCTGGAGTGGGGATCGTGCTCAGCCCCCTCCCTTCCTGGTCGCCCACGCCTCAGTGTTAAAACCTGGGGACACTGCCCACCACCATTTTGCACACTGCCTGTTCACTCCATGTCGCCCAGGCGGGAAAGATGGAAAATAAAGTATTTACACAGTCGCCGAGGAAGGGCCAGTGGGGCAGGTCTGGGGGTGGGCGACCAGGGAAGGGTCCCCAGGGCCTGATTCGGCAAAGCAGGTGGTTGAGGGAGGCCGGGGTCCTTGCAATGCATCAGATTTGGGGCAGGACTAGAATCATGGCAGGAGGGCAGGCCCCAAAGTCTGCTGGTTAAATGCCATGGAGTCGCTTCTGTGTAGGGTTTCCAAGAGCTACTCATGGTTCCTTGCAGTCCAGTGTTTATCCTATCCTACGGTGTCACACAAGGACTTAGTGACCCTGTATAGGCTTTCAAACAAATGGCTGGTAGGTTTAAACTGCTAACCTTGTGGTTAGTGGTCAAGTGCTTTTCCTACAGTGATGTACTAGGCAGGGAGGGAATAGAAAAGGCTATTTTTTAGCTGGATGTGAGCACAGGTGTCAAAAATGGTTAGTATTGCTAACAAAGGGTCACAGAGGGCCCTGGTGTCAGACTCAAACAAGACACATACAGAATTTTTGGAAGGGTGGCTTTGGACACAGTGACTGTGGGTGGGGTTGTGATTTCCCACGTAGGAACTCAACTTGGGACACAACAGGGCGGAGGGTGCTGAGCCTGGCACTACATTATGGCAAGTGTCTAATACACAACTGTACAGAGAAACCGTGGAAGGCTTTCTGAGGAGGTGGTGGCAGACCCATCTCTAAGAACCAGCAAGAAGCCTGTGACAGGAACAGGAGAGAGTTGGCAAGGCCAGATCGGGAAGAATCACTCAAGCCAGGAGCAAGAGCTGGCACTTAAAGGGCAATGGGGAGCCAGTGGAGGGCATAGGTGACGGGGCACCATCAGATGGTATATGGAGTTGGGACCACAGTGAGTGGGGGATTCCTCGTGGAGAAGCAGAGGTCTTTATGGGGTTCCCCATGGAGTGTAGGGGAGAGCTGAGGATGATGAAGCTTGAATTCAGGCATATGCAGTGGGCTCTGCTCTTTGCACCCAGTGTGAGCACACACAGTACCCCAATGCCTGACCTCTTAAAAGCAGCAAAAGACAGCCATTTCCCAGGGGCTATTCCAGCACGCAGCTCCTACGGGCTTGGGTACCAGTTCCAACAGGCGGATTTTAAACAAAGACTGAGCCATTGTCTGCCTCTCTGCTCCCACAGGGTAACCCCCACTGGCTTCCAAGGTAAGGGAGTCATCCCAGACTTAGTACCTGGCCTTGAGGCCCTGGCTGCCTGGTGTGTCAGGGGTCAGTTCCCACCCTTGGGTTCATCTTGGAGTCTAGAACCCAAGACACCTGGATTCTCACCAGAGTCATGCTAGAGAAGACAGCTCTGTGGTTTACCCTGGAACCGGAACCTTTCTAGCTGACCGGTCCCCCACTGAGTGGTAGGAGTGTAGGTAGCAGTGCCCACATGGGACAGGAACGTTTCCTTCTGGGATCCCAGACTAGAAGGTGGCCATGTCTGGGGGGAGGAAAGGCTGAACTTGTTGGACTGTGGAGACTGGGTCCAGGGAGAGAGACAAGTCTTAGGTTCACCCTGGGTCCTACCCTTTTACCTGACAGCTCTGGGGATTTTGGTCCCTGCCTTCTATTTCAGGTGTGAAGCAGGAGACCCTCAAGGATGAGTTTTCTGTAGGGGCATCTGGGCAAAGGGAGCCCCTGGCATGGGCTAGAGGGACAAAGGTAAAGGTGACTGAGCAGGGAGAAGATGAGGAATTCTGATTTGGGCAGGCAGATGAAGACATCATTTGGAGGGTCTGATAAGATAGTGGACAGAACAAGAATGCAGGGCTGCAGGTGGAGCCAGCCTCTTGAGAATCTCTAATTGTAGACACCAGTGAGGACACCTAGTTGGTGAATCTGAGAGACCCTGAGGGGTTAAGGGCTCCTGACTTGGATGGCCACAACCAGACAGGAGGGACAGCAGGAAGAACGTCTGGTCTCCTACACAACCCTGGGTAAGGCTGTTTGTTTCCTACAACCCCTCCTGGGCAGCGGACTGGCAGCCGGGCGGTCCACCCACCCCCCCACCCCACCCCAAGGGGTTTCCGGCCCAGCTGACTACCAGCCTCTGCGATTGGAACAGGGTTGGGAAAGTGCCAAGGGAAGAAGAGCACGAGCTCAACCAATAACACCCTTCTGCCTCCAGTATGAACCCTCAAGAACCCTCCAGCGTGCAGCCGCCTGTGCGCCCAGAGCAGCGCTCCAAGGCGCGCAAGGTAATGCAGCAAAGGGTCCCATGCTCTCCTCATCAGTTCCCCTGCTCACCACTACGATTGCATGTCCACATTGCCCCCTCCCTCCCGGGCTCTTTCTGCGTGGGGAATTGTCACCAGAAGTCAGACATGAAGAAGCACATATTCACTCACATGGATGGGAGCGCCGCACAAAACGGTGAGAACAAGGCGGGGTCCCTTCCAGTACATCCCTTCTTTCCCGCAGCAGAAAGTTGTTCAGCCAGAGCTCTGATTTGCTCATGCCCAACCGTCAGCATGGCCAGGCCTGTCCCCGCGCCGCCCCAGCTCTTTCGATGACAATGAAGTTGAGGTTCCAGCGAAGCGAACCAGCTTTATTGTAAACTCTAGCTGAGTCCTGGTGTGGTGCAGTAGGATAAGCACTGGACCGCAAGTTCAGTTTGAACCACAATGTCTGCAGTTCAAATTCACCAGCCGCTCCTCAGAAACCCTATACAGGGTCACTAGGAGTCGAAACCGACTCCAGGGCACTTGACAACAACTAGTTGAGTGAGGAACAATGAACCTAAACCGGACACTGGGAGGGTCTCGAGAGCGTGGTGGCCCTGGGGCAATGAGGTGGGAATAGATGAGATAGCCTGGACCAAAAGACAAGGTAGGGATCTGGGACGCCCATGTTAATTGGGGGGGAGGGTCTAGTCAAAGAGGTGTGGCCAGGGGCGGATCCTAAAGGCAGAGGTGGGAGGCAGGTCCCGGGCCTCGATCAGTGGAAGGTCTCCACCTCCACTACGGTCCAGTCACCCTGCGGGGAGGCCACATCATCCGGGGAGAAACTGGTGACGGAGGTGATGCTGGCACGGGACTCGTCCAGTGGGGACAGCAGCTCTGCCCAGCGGCCCAGTTCAGCATCACTGAGCGTAGCCCGAGCGCCCCCCGCGCCGCCGCCCCCACCCGCAGCCCCAGCGTCCCTGCTGCCGCCACCGGTAGCCCCTTCAGCCGCAGCCAATAGCAGCGTCCGGCTCAGCAGGTGCTGCACAACACTCGCCTGCAGCGCCCCCAGCGGTAGCTCACCCAAACGGGCAGGCTTCGAGCCCCGCGTGGCTGCCCCTGTACCCGCTGCTGCTGCTGCAGCCTTCCCACCGCCCGCACCGGGACCCGGATCCAGAGCGCTGGGGGCTGGGGGCGCCGTCTCAGGGCCTTCAGTCTCGTAGATAGTGCACAAACCGTCAGCGGAGCCGGGCCCGGCAACAGGCTGCCACTGCAGAGGTGCTCCTACAAGTAAATGCATGCGTAGGCTGGGCCTAAGCAGTGGGAAGCCCCGCCCAGCCACCGTAGCACCACCCATTTTTCCTCAGACGCTCCGCCCCATGCCTCGAAGTCTAGCTTCTAAACCCACCCTTCAATGTGCGGGGCTCAAAGCCCAACCCGGGCCCAGGTGGATCCAGAGGATGGCTCACCTGGGGTACAGCGGACGGCCAGCGGTGGAGTGGGACCACGGCTCCAGACGGCGGGGTGACAGGCTGCCAGCTCCGCATCGGCGGGCGGGGAAGCTGCTGCTCCGCCCTCTGGCCCGCTGTCGTAGCCACGCAGTTCCTCAGGCGTGCTGGTGGCGCTGCTGCTGTGACCCGCCAAATCCGGGCCGCTCAGAGTACTGGACGGACTTCGGGAGGGTGGTGGAGGTGGGACTGGGGCCAATGCCAAGGTCAGCCGTGGCCCGGGGTTCGGGGTATCTGGGCCTGGAGTCGGGGGACGACGTGGGGCCAGGAGAGGGGGTGAGGCGGGAGGAGATGGAGGGGCCTGAAGAGGGGGTGAGGCGGGAGGAGATGGAGGGGCCAGCAGAGGAGAGGTGGGAAAAGTGGGAGGGACCTGAGGGGCAGCCGCGGGAGATGCAGCGGCCTGCAGAGGAAGTGAGGTGGAGGGAGAGGGCGGGGCTTGCAGAGGAGGGGAGGTGGGGGAAGAGGAAATGGCCTGTAGAGGGGGTGAGGTTAGACTAGAGGACAGGACCTGCAGAGAAGGTGAGGTTGGGGGAGAGAGAGGGACATGCAGAGGAGGGGAGATGGGGGAAGAGGGAAGGGCCTGTAGAGGCAGGGAGGTGGGGGGAGAGGAAGGGACCTGCAGAGGTGAGTTGGGGGGAGAGAGAGGGACCTGCAGAGGAGGTGAGTTGGGGGGAGAGAGAGGGACCTGCAGAGGCTGTGAAGTCAGAGGTGGGGCCAATAGAAAGGGTGTGGCCAAGGGAGAGGCTAGAGAATAAGGATCCTGCAAAGAGAGTGTGGTCACTGAAGAGAGGGAGCCCTGCAAAGATGTGGCCAGACACGAATGGTCCTCTGTCGGGGTCATAACTTTAGGAGGTGGAGATATAGGAGGCGTGACCTGTGTTGAGGGTGTGTTCATAGGGGAGGGACGGACCTGTCGAGGGGGTGTGGCAAGAGGAGAGGGTAGGTTCTGCTGCAATATTGACTGAGAGAGTGGAGCCTGCGGAGGGGGCGTTTCTGGTGGTAAAGGAGTCAACAAGGGAGGTGTGGCCAAGGGAGAGGCAAGAGGGGACACAGTTAGAGAAGACTGGGTCGGGGGCACACTCTGCAGAAGGGATGAAATTGATGGAGAAAATGGAGTCAGGAAAGTGGGCGTGGCTAGGGGAGAAGAGGACGTCTCGGGAAAGGATGTATCCTGGGAAGAGGGTGGAGCTTGCAGAGGGACTGTGTCTGGTGGAGAGGGGAGGATTGGTGGAGGGAGTGTAGCCGAAGGAGGGGCTAGCAGAATGGGTGTGGCCCGAAGATCTGTAAGGTCTTGGGGAGGGAATGTGGCCCTTGGGGAGGGCAGGGTCTGAAGACCGTGTGTGGACGTGGTCATAGGGGAAGGAGGGAGTGTGGCCGGCAGAGGGGAGGCAATGATCCGGGAAAGCGGCGCCTGCTGTACCCTTGGACCCTGCTGAGAGGATGTGGACAAAGGAGATTGCTGTACCCTTGGACCCTGCTGAGAGGATGTGGCCAAAGGAGATTGCTGTACCCTTGGACCCTGCTGAGAGGATGTGGCCAAAGGAGATGACTGGCCTCGTCCAGGGGTTGCCGCTTTCCTTGGAGGTGTAGCCTGCGGGGAGCGCAGAGACTGCGTTCCTTTGGACTTGGGCTGGGAGGAATGGCCTGGAGCCCGAGGTGTGCCTCTGGTGGAAACCCCAGAGCCAGCTGGAGAGGGCAGCAGTGTGGTGTTGGAACTCAAGGGGCGAGTGACCGGTCTCTGGAGGCCTCCACCTGCGCTGGGCCGCCTCCTGGCAGCAGGGCTCGGCTCCGCAAGGCTGCTCACTGACTTCTTGGAGGCATCAGTTGAGGTCCGAGGCCGGGCACTTGGAGTTGCCCGGTGGAGTCCCACGTCGGCTTCAGGCACCCGGGACCGACGGGTGATAGCCGGTGAAGAAACACCAGAAGAGGGCCCGGAAGAGTCTGGAGACAAAGCAGAGGGTCAATGGGTCACCGCTGGTCGCCCCTTCCTGCTCAGGAACATTGTTCTTCCCGGGGTCACTTACCCTTCCGTGCTCCAGAGCTCGGGCTGCTCCTTCTGGATGCCTCCAGGGTTTTCCCTCTGGCCACAGGCTCGTCAGCCAGTCGGAGTCCCTTCTGGCCAGGAGGCCCCAACCTGAGCACAGGAGGGGCATCGCTGAGGACAGAGCTCTAAGTCCTTGTTTGACCCCCATGTCTCATTGTCAGTGAAAAGGGGGCATTCACTCTGAGGAGGAAAATGGCTTTCCTCAACTTCCACCTAGGAATCTGCAAACATTCACACGCCCCCACAATTCATGTGTAAAATTAAAAGGTTTCAGATAGTGATGCAAATCTTTGCCTAGCGGGCGTGGGGGTGTAGTTTACCTGGCGGTCCCGCTAGCACGTGCTGTGACAGAGACAGAACCCTGGCCAAGGGGCTTGGCAGGGCCAGGGGGCTTGGCAGGGCCAGGGGGCTTGGCAGGGCCAGGGGGCTTGGCAGGGCCAGGGGGCTTGGCAGGGCCAGGGGGCTTGGCAGGACCACTCTCAGCTCTCGAAGCCGCTGGCGGCCTGGAGGCTACGAGGAGAAGGCGGAAGGAGGGGTTGGTGCCTCAGGAGAAATGGGAGACACAGGTTTGGGATAGGGAAGGAGGCTGGGGTACCTGGACTCCGGGGGCCTGTCCCGGCATTCCGCGTTGGTCCCAACCTGGGAATGGCTTCGGGGAGGGTGGCTCCCACGCTCCCCACTCGCTCTGAAGGAGGCCTTCGTCCCGCTGCTCCGAGAACACGGAGGGCTGCGGTAGTTATTGGAGGAGGGGGTCGCGGAGACCCTGGGGGCTTGGGAGTCGTAAGGGCCGGCGAACGAGAAGCCAGCGTCCGCGCGGTAGCCCCGGCCTTGGCCTTGTCCCTCTTGTCCATCCTGCACCTGATGAGTAGACTGAGCCATCAGCATCCCATGCCCTGCGCCGTGATCGTGATGCTGCCTGCGGGGACCAAGGTCCTCGCTGCCTCTTCCTCAGCATCGCCATTTACAGGCGCCAGAACCTCAGCCTCCACTACCATCCTGTACCCACCTCCCAGCTCTGCTGGTTGTCCCCACATCCCACCCCCACTGCCCTCCCGAAATGCTGGGAACCCTGCCCGCCCTGGCCCACCCACCATCCCACCACCCCTCCCGCTCCCTTTCAGGACCCAAGACCCACGCCCCCACCCTTCGCCCCCTCAAGGAGCTAGATGCCCACCCAGCCTTGGGAACAGAGAGCCTAAGGAAAGGAGGGGGCCCGAAGTGCCTCCCCGGATTTCCGGAGGGACCCCGACACCTGCCAGGAGAAGATGTCCCGACTGCCCGCGAACGGGCTCCGGAGACAAAGAGCCACGTCCTGGCCGACCCTCTCCCCGCCCAGCCTAGCCAGCGCGCTGCCCTCCACCTGCTCCGCGGCGCTCACCTCGAGATCCGGTCGCCCGCGGTTCGCACGCGGTGCGCCTAGGGTGGGGCGGGTCCGGTACCTCGGCGGCTGTCTGGGTCAAAAAACAAGGGGAGGGGGCTGCGACGGAGGCGCTGGGGAGCAGTCCAGCCCCGCCCCTCGGCCGAGAGGGGAGGCGGAGGCGCGCACGGGGAGGGGGCCCGGCGCGTGCTCCAACCAGATTCGGAGCGACTGGCGGGGGCGCGCCGAGGGGCGGGGGAGAGGCGCGCGCTGAAGGGAGGGGTGACCCCCGGGGTCTGGGAGCGACTTGTGTCTGCAGCCACGGACGGAGGACCCAGAGACCGGACGTGAGAGACCACGAGGAAATCCTTGGGGGCCCCCTCTCCAACCACTCCACTCCCCCACCCTCCGACAAACACACCTGCCTGGGTGCTCACCCCAACCACCTGGCAGCTCAAACCCTCCCGGGCGCTGATAGGCTGGGGCCTGGCAACCAGAGGGCGGGAACAAAGCTCCCGTAGCTCAACCGACCAATCCTGTCGCCTGGTGACCCTGGTTCTTTCTTCGTTTTTGCGACCGCGAGGGCCAGACTCCCCCACAAAGGTCCCTTAGGGGCCTCTGCCCCTCTAACAACAAGAAGGCTTTTCCGAGACCCCGGAAATCCCTTTCCTGCTGCGGAAGGGCAGCTACTTACTGGGAGACCAGCAACCCTGGGAATGTAAGGGATGATCAGAAGAACGCAGATTTGGGAAAGAAAAGGAGAAAGAGAGAGAGAGAGTGATGAGAAGTGAGCCCAGCCCTCTGCAGAGCAGAGCGCCCCCACAAGGATTTCCCCCATAGAGTCAGGCTCTGAAGGACACGTTTGGGTGCGGGAGAAATTGGGAGGTCCAAACAGGTGCTTGAAGGAGGTCCCGGTCCAGCTGTAGTAAGTAAAATACAAAACAAATACAAACCATCCATTGCCCTGATTTGGGACCCATGGTGACCCCAGATGGTGCAAACGGTTTGCACTAGACTACCAACCAAGGAGCTCTGGTAACATAGTGGTTACGAATCGGGCTGCGGCTCAAGGTCAGCAGTTCGAAACTACCAGCTGCTCCGCGGGAGTAAGATGAGGCTTTCATACAGGGTCGCTATGAGTCGACTCCACGGCACATAACCACCACCAAAACAACCTAGTGTGTCATTCTAGGATAAGTGCTGAACTGCCAACTGCAAGGCTGGTAGTTTAAACCCACAAGCCACTCCTGGGAAACCCTATAAAGGGTCGCTATGAGTCAAAACCCAGTCTACTGGCACTTAACAGCCACCAGCAATCACAACCTAAAGGTTGGCAGTTTGAACCCAGTCAGCAACACATTAGAATAAAGGCCTGGTGATGGACTTTTATTAATACACCTATGCAACAATTCTACTCCATAACACATGGGGGCGCCAGGAATCTGTAGGCGATAGGAGGTGTCACTTCGTGGTTTCCTCAACCAGGTGCCAGAGCCTCAGGGGAAAACCCTGAGGTGAAGAAAGAGGGAGAGTCATCTTTAGCTGTTCTTATAGGCTAAGGCTCAGCTTTGTCACGTCTGTGACACACGTCTACACCCTACCCCGCCCCCACTTTCCACTTCAGTGCCTCTTGGCACCAAAGAGCCCAGCTCTACCTCAACACTCACACTTACACAACCCACATACACACCCCACATGCATACCACACTCTACTACAGACACACCACACACACAACATACAACACACACACATGCACATACCACACCACAAATGCATACAAACCATATACCACAAACAACACACACATGTACTGCTGTATACATGTCACACATACCCCACCACAAACACTACACACACACACACACCACAAACTAACATACGCACACACACACTGCATACATAGCATCACACACAACACACACTATAAACCACACACATACAGCATACAGTACACACACTATTAAGTGCCATCAAGTCAGTTCAGACTCATAGGGACACTGTATAGGGTTTCTGAGGAGCAGCTGGTGGGCTTGAACCACCAACTTTGTAGTTAACAGTCCAGTGCTTATTCTATAGTACCACACCAGGACTACACACACACACACTATGCATCACATATTCCCCACCACACACACACCATACACCACACACATTATACATCATGTATTCCCCACCACACACACACACACACACACACACACACACTGTGCACCACACCACGCACTGTACACCACATCACACACACACTCCACCAATCGTCTGTCAGTTTGTCATACTGTGGTGGCTTATGAGTTGCTGTGATTCTGTATGAGTATTCCAGAACACTTAATTGTGCTCATGAGGAATCTGTACCTGGGCCAAGAGGCAGTTGTTCAAACAGAACATGGGAACACTGAATGGTTTAAAATTAAGAAAGGTGTGAGACAGGGTTGTATTCTTTCACCATACTTATTCAACCTGTATGCTGAGCAAATAATCCGAGAAGCTGGGTTTTATGAAGAAAAACATGGAATCAGGTTTGGAGGAAGACTCATAACAACCTGCTCTGGTAGCATAGTGGTTACAAATCGGGCTGCGAACCTAAAGGTCAGCGGTTTCGAGACTACCAGCTGCTCCGCGGGAGAAAGATGAGGCTTTCTACTCCCGTAAGGATTTACACCCTCGGAAACCCTGTACAGGGTCGCTATGGGTCGGAACCGACTCGACGGCACGTAACAACAACAACAACATATACAGATGATGGCGCTCTGGTATTGTAGAGGTTATGAATCGGGCTGCTAACCTTAAGGTTGGCAATTCGAAACTACCAGCTGTTCCACAGGAGAAAGATGAGGCTTTCTGCTCCCGTAAAGATTTACAGCCTTGGAAACCCTGTGCAGGGTCACTGATTCAGAACCGACTCCACGGTACTTAACAACAACAACAACATATACAGATGATACAATCCTGCTTGCTGAAAGTGAAGAGGACTTAAAACATTTACTGATGAAGATCAAAGAGCACAGCCTTCGGTATGGATTACACCTCAATGTAAAGAAAACAAAAATCCTCACCACTGTACCAATAAAGAACATTATTATTAATGGAGAAAAGATTGAAGTTGTCAAGGACTTCATTCTTCTTGGATCAACTATCAACACTCGTGGAAGCAGCAATCAAGAAATCAGTCTGAAATTGATCAAGCATGCAATCAAGATACATTGGGAATTACTAGTTATTGGAAGGAAAGTTGGAATCAAGGAGGAAGGATTAGTAGTTGGAAAATATGGTCTTGGTGATAGAAATTGTGATATTATGATCACATGAAAGAATTTTGAAAGGGCAATGACTTGTTCATTGCCAATATCTTTTTTAAACAACATGGAAGATGACTATACACATGGGCTCACCAGATGCAATACGCAGGGATCAAATTGACTACATCTGACGAAAGAGACAGTGGGAAAGCATCATATCAGCCTAAACAAGGCCAGCAGTAGACTGTGGGACAGACAAACAATTGCTCATATACATGCAGGTTCAGGCTGGAGCTGAAGAAAATAAAAACAAGTCCAAGAGAGCCAAAATGTGACTCTGGAGATATGCCACCTGAATCTAGAAGCCATCTTAAGAACAGATTTGATGCATAAGAACAGATGAGTTGCGGGATGACAAGAACATCATAAAGGTTCCTGCAGCTGCTCAAGACATGGTTGGAAAGTCGATGTGTTGTTGTTAAGTGCTGTCAAGTCAGTTCCGACTCATAGCGACGCTGTACAGGGTTTCCGAGGAGTGGCTGGTGAGTTTGAACTGCTGACCTGGCGGTCCATTGCTTATCCTATAGCACCACATCGAGTATGCACCTCCTTTTGAGCCTTTGTCCCTTGCATGGTGAGAAGTGTCTTCCCCACATGATGATAATGCAAGCCTGTATAAGAAAAACAATTTCTTCCACCTAAGCCATGGCATATTAGTTATACAGAAATATCACTTTAGAAACAGTCTTCAGAAGAGCCTAGAGGAGTTCATAGTCTGAAGAAAACACTCCCCAACTTTCCCTATTAAGTTCTACTTCCATTCCAGAAGGCTCAGAAGGTCAGGAATAGAATCAACTTCAGGGGCTCTCTAAGTATGTACAGATTCTGAGATAATGTGTGGACTTTTGTTTTAAATGATGTTGAATTCAGAGAAGTGACAGAACTTATGAAAGTGGATAAAGTGAAAACTGAATTCTGGGATGGTAAAAATACTACAGAATCAGTAGGGGGGAAATGGCTTCTTTGTGCCATCTTTCATTATTATTCATTGCTTTTTGAAAAGAAACATAAAAGAGACTTTTAATTTTTATTCTAGCAACAGAGAGATGACTGTACTGAGCTGTTTTTGTTGTTGTTAAGTGCCATCGAGTTGGTTCCGTCTCATAGCGACCCTGTATAGGGTTTCTGAGAAGTACCTGGTGAGTTTGAACCACCGACCTTACAGTTCAAACAGCTTTGCAGTCCAGAGGTTTAACC